TGCGGGGAGGGACGGCCAAGCCCTCAATTTCAACTTTTGTGCCCCAGAGAAGGTCATGTGCTACCAGGACCTGGGTGGCATTGCCACACCCGGGAGGGCCCTGCTCACCCTTGGGGGCTGCAAAAGGGTTCCACCCCACTTGACAACTTATACCATCCATCCTCATCCTTCTGTTCATATGAACAGCATTCCGCGGGCACCACAAGCCCGGGCTGAAACAGACAGGTTAGGGGAGATGTCTTCCATTTTAGGATCCCTCCATCCCTAAACAGGCAAGGTCTTATTTTTATCTCCTGTTTCTCAGCAAGAGAGACTCGGGGCCGTGGGGCAGCAGAGGATGCGCTTGGCACAGACTTGGGAATCAGAAGGGGTCCGGCGCAGGCTGCTCCCCTTCTCCATGGCTCAGGTCCCTTAGTTCCAAACGGGTAAAACCGGAGAGTAGCTCTGGTGTCCCCGGGGTTGTCAGGAGAGCCGCCATAGGTATCAGCTGCCAACAGTACAGTCCTGGGGCCAGCTCCGCGTGGCCGGGGATCCCCGTCTCCTCAGCCTTTGGAAACCTCGCCCATTCCGAGCTCCCCGACGCCCGGGGCCTTCAGCGCGTCTCCGCACCCACAGTGTGTGGCACGTGAATGAATGAAGGAGTGCGTGCGCCCGCTGCCTGGATTCGCTCAAGCTGTGGAGAGTGGGCTGGCTGGGAAGTGAAGATGAGATCACCAGAGCTCTTGTTCATGCTTCTCCAGAGAAACATTCCCAGAAATGCAGGAGACGAGAATCCTCCGGAGCCCCCGCCTCACGCCCCACCCTCGGCGGGACTTGTCGCCGTGAACTGTGATTCACCTGAGGAACCCTGAGGGACCTTTGACTGCTCCACAGCACCTCGCTCAGCACCACCTTGTCCTCATCCATCATCCTTGAAGACTCCTGAAGAATGAGCATATCAAGCTTGCTGTCACAACGTTGTAAAATGTTGCAGTCATTGGAAACCACCAGTAATTTCTGTTCAAACAGATGAGGCTGCCTTTTCAAACCAGGGCAGTGGAAACACCGCGCACGCCACGGGTGCCCGAGCAGCCGCAGGCGCCCCCACCCCGCCCACCCCCGTCCCCCTGCCCGCTCCGTGTCTAACTCTCTTGCTTTCTCCTGCACGCTTTGATGCCCTGTTATTCTCCTGGTCACGTCCAAAAGACACGCAATCCAAAGCCCTTGATCCAGAATGTGAGTGCACCCTGCCCAGCCAACATCACAAAACGATCGCAATGTCATGGCTTTGCTCATCTCCCAAGGCAAAACAAAACAAAACAAAACACACAAAACCACCACAAACCTATTCTCTAAATGGATGGATATTTTGGAACTGAGTAGACACAGGTTCAGTGCCATAAGTGGATCCACAGAGCCCATTCAATCAACGGCAAAACCCCTCAAGAGTGAAGACAGGGGTGGGGGTGGGGAACAGTTCAAAGACCAAACAAAGGTTAATTCAGTAATTGCCCATAGGCACTGGCAATCTCCACGAGTAAGCGCTGGTGCAAACAGCAGCCACGGGGGTCATTTGGCTCAGTGCCCATTTGGGAAAAGAAGACCTTGGAGGATTCCACGTGGAGCCCCCTTGGGTGGCCTGAAAGCCATTGGGCAGCTGAAACAAGGGCCGGGCAGTGGGAGTGGGGTGTCCGCTCTGAGCTGCCATCAGCCACCCCCTCTGAAACCTCAGGGACTTCCTAGGCCGGAGAGGGTTCCCTGGGGGCCAGTTCAGCCAGCTTGTCTCTGCCAGGAGTGGACGGCCAGCTGCTGTTTGGACACGTCTGGAGATGGTGAACTCTCCCCCTCTCGAAGGTTCCCAGAGGGGAATGAGAAAGTCTCTGGGCCCTTACTCTCCATGTCCTGGCTGAATCTTCCCTCCTCAAGCACTTGGCTCCTCTGCCTCTTTGCCGGATGAGACTCTGGTCAGAAGCAGCAAGCTGGGCACATACCCTTTGCCTCCAAGAATCCACTCCATCTGAACTGATACGTGACTATCTTTGACCTGTCACCGAGCTGTGATCGGAGGGCAGAGGCCCCTGCGGTCACCGGCATAATTTGTTCTTGCTCGTCAAGTCAGGGAGTGCATGTTGAACACATACGTTTATGGGGCCCTAGAGAGAGAGAAGCAGGCATTGGTCATCACAGCCCCTCCCCTACAAGCTATCCACCCTGGCCCCCAGGAAGCAGGTGGACGTAAAGGTCCTGTCTTTAGAGCCCAGGGCTGATCTTACAAAAGCCCCATTTGCCCCCAAAGGAAAATGAACCCTTGTAAACAGCCACACATGTTCCAACGTGTTGGGGCTTTTTCAACCAACTCAGCCATCTGTTGGATCTGAGTTATATCCACGAAGCTTTGTGCTGGGGAGAGATGCTGGTGATGGGGCCACAGTAGCCGCCATAAACTGAAGTTGCCATGAAGTCGAAAGCATATGGTAGTGAAAGGAACACCGGGGGAGGGGAGGCCGCTGAATCGTCCCTCCCACCCCCAGGACTGTTTTTGGCCAACCTGGAAGAACCATGTGTAGCTCAAATCCTTTCTTTTTGCATGAACCAGGAGAGCCGGCTATTTAAGGAAACGTGACGGCGAATTGTTTCTACGAGATCAGACCAGTGACTCCTCAATTTCCCCCCTATTTTTATGTTTGGAAATGGGGTTTTTGCTTAAAACCAGGCCATGGTTTGGTCACACAAAGAGTGTGCTTGGTGTTGACCATCGAGCACCATTCTCCAAATGAAATCGTCCAGTTCAGCCACCCTCTTGTTGCCCGTATGACCAGTGGTAAAGCCATGTCAGGCCTCTGCTACTGTCAGTAAAGTGAGACTAAGAAGGGTCTCTACTTTATATGTTGCATTTTCAACCCGGGATTAAATAAAATGGGCTCAGGTTGCAGCATCACTAGCCCCAGGAGCCCACGTCTGTAGGGCCTGGGGAAGAAACCAGTGCTTCACAAGGTCAGGAGCTCCAGAGGTCTGCAGCCGCCCAGACCATGGCTGGGGAATTCTGCAGCATGTGAATGAAGTGCAGGCGTGGGAAGAAGTGGAAGGGCATGGGAGCTGGTTGGTAAAGAGGATTTGGCAGTGATGCTCCTTTTAAAATTCTTGGCACACATTTGCCAGGATCTAAGCAATCCTGGAAAAAAAAAAAAGAGAAAGAGTGGCTCAGTTGTCATAATGGGGATTTTGACAGAAAATGTCAATTTAAAGGATTTCTAAGCTGACTCCTAGGGCACCGATTGGCTGACTGGCTTGCATTGCACGCACATGCACTCCCCCCCCCCCAGCCCCACTGTCCTTTAAATGGAATTTCTATTAATGTTTCTGTATGTTTTCTAGGTTGGGGAGGACATTGAAAATCTGGAAGGAGGGTGTAAGGAGCACAGGTTTGGGATTTAGTGTAGCCCAGCTCTGGTCTACGGCTCTTCAGCCTCCCCAAGCCTCACCTGCAAAGTGAGGGCAATAGCACTGTCTTTCTCCCTGGATCGTCGTGAAGATTTCAACAAGACAATGCGGGCAATGTGTTTATCCGTGTGTCTGGGATGTACTGAGCACATAATAAGTGATGTTTATCATGAAATAAAGTGCCTGGTGGAAGAAGGTACTGAGCACAGTTAATTAGTGCATCAAGCACCATCACTGATCCCCTAGGAAAAGAAGCAGGTGACGTTTAATTATCCCATTTGGAAGGGACAGAGGTGCTCATAGGGGCAGGCACCAGCTCTTTCCATTACTGAAGAGCAACGAGGTACCTGCCCGATTTGCCGTAAAGAAATGCTCCTGGGTCAAAATGGCTTGGACAGCTTTGGGAAATCGGGCAGTGCCCGTGCCTAGGGGACCGGACCGGGCAAGGCAGCAGGCTGGACATGTGCGGCCTGTTTGGGCTGTAAGAAGTACTCACCCTCTCGGTCCTGTGGTGTGACTCTGAGCACATTGCTTACTGTAAGGCGGGCATGGACTCCAAGCAAGTCACTTGGTTCCCTCTATATGTCCTCGGTATTCTCATCTTGAGAATGGGAGTGAAGTAACAGGTTCTTCCTATCAGGTTATAGCCTCTTATAAAGAGCTCAAGAGTGAAAAAAGCACACATTCATATTACGCTTCCAACGTGCCAGGCATGGTTCTCAGTGCTTTGCATACTCTAGCTAATGTTTGAATCCAGTAGTCAGTGGTTTCAGCCTCCTCCTGAGTATCTGTCTGCAGGGATGGAGGTCACTCACTGCCCCGTGGAGCACTTCGGGTAGAGGGACCCTATGTCAGGAAGGAAGCAGCCCCATCTGTTTGTTCTGCTTCTCATGCAGCGGTTGGTCCTAACTCTGCCCTTTGGTCCCAGGGAAGACGTCTGCTCCCTTCCTCTAGGGATGCCCTGAGAGATGGGAAGGCAGCTACCAGGCCCCAAACCCCGGGCCAGCCCAGAGTGGGACAAGCACCGCCCTTCCTCTCATTGGCTGGGTGGTTGCTCCCCAGGAAATGGAAACAAACCGTCCCAGAGGCCAGAGTCAGCTGCGCACTCATTGTGTGCCCTGGACGTCCTCCCTGCACTGCCTCTAGCCCGACCCTCCAGGCACCGCTATGGCCCATTGCAAAGATGAGAACCAGAGAGATCCCTGGCTGAGGGACTTGCCCCAAGGTCGCCCTGTGGGTAAGCAGCAGCGGCTTCAGCCTGACTCCCAATCCCAACGCTGTGGAAACGGGGAGCGCCGGAAAGCAGGCAAAGAGCCACCGGAGCCCCCGCGGGGCGCGGGGCGCGGGGCGCGGGGCGCGGGGCGGGGGCGGGGGCGCCCCCGGGAGGGCGGGAGGCCGGGAGGTCCCGCGGCCTGGGCCCCAGGCGGCCGCGCCGTCAGCACCGGGGACAGCTCCCGAATCGCTCCCCGCAGCCCCCGACGGCGGCGCGCGCGGGGCTGGCTGCGCGCTCCCCGCCGGCTCGGCCGCGCGCCCTCCCGCCAGCGCGCGCCCCGCGCCCGGGACCGGGCTGGAGCCGCGCGTGCCGCTCGCAGGGAGCCATCCTGCGCGTCCCGAGCCGCGGCCGCAGCGGGAGCTGGCAGGGGGCTCCGGCCCGGCACGCAGTCGCCTCCCGCGGGCCTCCGGGCCTCCGCAGCGCCAGCCTCGCCCGCCCGGCCCCGGCAGGCGCCGCAGCCCGTGGCCTGGGCAGGAGCGGCCCCGCCAGCTGCGCCCTGCCCGGGACGCACGCCGGACCGCCCCGTCACGTGCGCCCAAGTCCTCGGCCGGCCGGGGCAGCGCCGTTCCCATGGTTCAAGGTAAGGGCCGAGCGGGCCGGGCGGGCGCGGGGCGCGGGGGCCGAGGGCGCCGAGGACTCAGGCAGGGAAGCCCCGGTTGGGTGCCCCCCTGGGCTGGAGCGCCCACTGCAGCCTGCCCGGCAGGCGGAGCCGGGTCCCTGCCCCACGCAGCCGCCCGGCCACACCACCTGTCCCATCTTGAGGTGCCCTGGAAGTGCGCCCCTGGGGAGGAGGCTGTGGACTGCGCACGAGGACCCAGGCAGGCGGCCAGGGCCAGAGGGAGGCGGGGGACCCGCTGTGTCAAAGGGCACCTGGCCTCTCTGTCGGCCTGGGCATGAAGGAAATCGGGAAGAGAAAGTTTCCTAGAGGAGCCTGGCCTCCATGCCTTCTGGTGCCCGGAGCTGAGACCTTTCATTGACTGAGGCTTGCCTGCTAGCAGACACCTGCTGGGCACAATTCACCCAACACCCATGAGGAAGGGGTCATTGGCCCTATTTGACAGATGGGGAGACTGAGGCTTGGGGAAGTTTGGTCACTTGTCCAAGGTCACACAGCCAGTAAGTGGTAGAGCTGACCTCCAACACCCCATCCCACGGGTCACTGCCACCAGCCTCACATGTACCTTTGTCTGTTTGGAATCTCAGCTTAAATGGAGGCAAGGAGTACCAGACTGGCATTTCGGTTTTCCTAGCCAGGAATAAAAGGACTCTCCAAACATCAAAAACCCAGGAGATTGCCTGTCCACCCTCCTGGCCCTGCCACCTCATCCCCCAGTATCCAGTACTCCCAAACCCAAGGACCACGTGAACACAAAGAGTCCTGCCCTTGTGCATCTCAAGGCAGCCCCCGTGACTCTGGGACAAGGACCTCAAAGGTCAAGTTCATTGACCCTTCTCCAGGGAACATCCCGCAGGCCTCAGCCCCCGCACACCCTACCTTCCCATTCCTCAGGAAACTGGAGCTCAGGAGAGCCAGAGGGGACAACCTGCCAGCCTTTCCCCAGCACCCCCCTCAACTCAGGCCAGGCCAACCTCTTGGTTGGGAGTGGGGGTGGGTGACTTCCAGACCCAATGGAACTTCCAACCCCAGAAAGTTTTGACTTGCCAGGACAGCATCCCTCTCCCTCTGCTGATATCACTGAGGATACAGCCTAGGTGACCGGGGCTCTTCTTACCTAAGCAGGTGGTCCAAGCAATTCCTGGGCCCAGGGGGAGGGGTTGACTTGAGTCCCTCATGCACAGATTGCCAGCTTCCTCAAGAGCTTGGGTGCTGGGAACTGGTGACATATTCATCTTGCTCCTGAGACTGGGGCTCAGGCAATGTGGGGTTTTGTTCATTTTTTTCATTTGGCAGTGGCTCCTGGGCACCTGCATGACAGGGTGAAAAAACCAGGGCGATCCTTGCGCCCCAGATCCTCCTGACTTCTGGCCTCCCTGCCATCTGAATTCCCAGTGGGGCTCCCTGGTCCAGATTCACTTGGAAGGCTTGGAACCGGCCTCCTGAAGGGTTTGGTGGTGTGGGAAGGACCCGCAGGCTCTCTCAGCCTGGGTACCCTCGGGGTGCATGGGGATGGCAGCGTGGGGTGCTCTGGGGAGCATCAGCTGGTCTTTCTGAAGCTCACTGGCACTCTCTGCTGAGAGCGCTGGCCTATGAAAGTGTCGCAGTTTCTCCACCCTGGCCTCTCCAGGGGAGAGGGGAGGGCATCCACCACAGAGCCCCTCCCAGCCTCCGAGGCTTCAAGCTCCCAGACGCACATTGCTTACACTAGCACAATGGTCAAACATGAGGAAGGGCGCTCAGGGAAAGGATGGGCACTGCTGGAGGGACCAAGACTTATCTGTCCCGTTCAGTCCACCTTTCCAGGTGACCTTGGACAAGTCACTCTCCCTCTGTAGACCTTGGTCTGTCAGCTCTGAAATGATGGGGCGGCTCATGGTAGGTCCCAGATGGGCCATTACCACTCTGTTCATCTAAGCCCCAGACTAAGCGGGTGAGGCTAGGAGGAGCTGCAGTATGGAGGGAGCACAGAAGGGTTTTGAAATCTCCAGGCAAACCTGAGCCCAAGCCCCCCCACACTCCAGAGATCACCCCACTCTTGCATGTTTGGGGCCCGCTCTAAGTCGCCGACTGCTGGTGCTGGTGCTGGGTGAGCCATATGGTTGGGCCAGCCTGGAGGCTACAGCAGGGCCCCCCTCCCGCAGGGAGGCCCCTGGGCCTGCTCCATAGAGTGATAGCAGCGAGATCCAGTGAGGAATGATTACAGTGCTCAGAAGGGGTGAGGGAGCAGGCGGGGCTGCGGGAGAGTTATTACATCTCTGTAAATTGCGTCTGACTCTGGGCAGGAGGCTCGCACAGTGGCACCAGGGCCGCTGTCCTGTCCTCCCGGGAGCTCCTGGCCCAGCCACTCTCCAAAGTGGCAAGTCTGTATCTGTATCTTACTGTACACCAGTAAGAGGCGGTTTGTGGGGTGGAGAGAGTGGATTCTGGGCTACCTTGGGCAAATCACTCGGCTTCCTCGTGTGCAAAACTGCTGCCTTCCCCGCCAGCACACGGCAGCGCCTGAGAAACCGGGCCTGCCCGGGGCGGGCATTGGATGCCCTGAATCTCTTCCCGGGGTCTGCTCCACAGAGGCTGGGGCCACTGGGGGCTTCTCAGCCTGGCCACAGACTCCTCCTGGCACCACTTTTCCTTGCGGTGTCTCGATCCCTTTGGATTTGCTCCAAAGGGGATTTGACGAGCCTGGCCTCTTGAGTGTTTGCCAGCGCCTCTCCTTCTTCCCCTGCTGAGCGGAGAGGCTCCTGGGTGCGGGTGCACTTGTTTCTCTCTTCTCAAAGCTGTTTCTTCCCTTTGGAAGTAGAGCCCCTCCCTAAACAGGCTTGGTCCCGCCCCCCTGGCTGGGGCTGTCTACGATGCTGGGGAGCCTGGGGGCCGTGGGAGGAATTCTAGGGGCTCTTACCCCCTTGTCCCAGGGGGAGGGGGATTTGCAGCAAAAGCCCCAAGCTAACACAGAGGTTTGCTTCCAAGTCTGGTGTTGCTGCTTCCTGGCTGTGGGACCTGCTGGGCTCTGAAATAGGGACTGTGGCCCCTACTTCCCAGGGACTGTGGCCCCTACTTCCCAGGGGTCCTGCAGGATTAAACAAACGATCCTGGTGAGGGTCCTGGGGCTTCTTGAGTGGGGGAGCAAGGAGGAGGTCAGATAAGGTAAGGCTGTAAGCCCTGCTCCGGGGGTGGGTTTCTCCAGGGGCCCAGAGAAACCACAGGCACTATGAGCCTGGGAGGGACACAGCCATATCTGGCCTCTAGAGGATGTCCTTGGGCTGCAGCATGAAGGATAGCCTGGAGAGGGAGGCTGGAGGCAGGAAGGCTCTGGAGGAGAGTCCCTGCCCCCAGCCCGAAGGGAAACGATGGAGGCCTGGACCAGGAGAGTAAGAAGTGGGCAGGAACAGCCATCCTATGGAGGAGGGGCACTGGGAAGGCCCAAGACTGAGCAAATAGTGGTCCTGGAGCACCCTTCTCCCGAATGGGGCCGGGCCAGAGACCTGGACATAGTCTGACACGCAGGACAGGCCGGTGCAAACGGTAAGGGCAGTGAGGATGAAGCCCTGGGGGCCCTGAAGAGGACCTTCTGCTCCAGCAGCAGCACAGTGTTGAGGTGCCCATCACACCCTGGCTCCGTGTTACCTCCCGTCCTCTGCATATGGTCCCTGCCCCCCTTGAGGGGTTTCCATGAGGCTTGACCCTGGCTGCATCTCCAGGTCACTGTGCCGTCCCTCTCTGCCCTGTCCATGCTCAGCTTTCCCAGGCAGAGGTGGAAGGAGCCTGGGCCGCTCGGGAGGCCCACGTGGAGGCTGGCCAGGGGCCCAGGCGGTGGCCCTACTACAAGCCAGGCTCCCAGGGCTACAGCCGCATTTACTCATTCCCTGGCCACAAGTGGTGGTGTGGTTGAGTGGATGAGAGCAAGGCCACTGCGGCTGACCAGAGCCATGTTTCTGCCCAAGCTGTGCATCCCTAGTAAAGTGACTTAGCTTCTCTGGGCCTTGGGCTCTACTGTAGGTGATAATATTAACTTCTACCTCATAGGTTGGGCCAGATTACGTCCCAGCTGGCTGACTGGGGAGAGGGGTCCAGGCATGCTGAGCGCTAGCAGAAACCTCTCTTCCAGGCCAGGCCCACCCCCAGGGCAGCCCCCAGAGTGACCTCAGGGCAGACTGGCCTTGAGGCCACCCTGACTCCCTAACCACCACCTGAATCTGGGTTCTCTCCACCCCCAAATCCACAGTTTCTGCAAAGCAGCGACCAGGCCACGGCAGTGGCAGGCGTGGCCCCTTGGGGCTCCCAGGCTGGCCCTGGCCTGTGGGGCTCTCTGCTGGGCCGGGTCCTTGAAGAACAATCCTCCCTCGTGTTATTATTATTGTTGTTGTTCATCATCATTTGCTGTACTTTGTCGTGCGCCCCATACTCGCTTACACTCGGAGCAGGACCACCCCAGTGTGTCCGCGACGGGAGCACCAGGAGCGTGGGTTCTCAGACCCCCTCCAGACTTTCTGTTTTAACAGGCTCCCCGGGTGATTCCTATGCTCAGTGAAGTTGGAGACACACTGTTCCAGAAAACATGCTGTTCACCAAAACAGAAAGCCAACTCCACCTGCGGAAAGCCACCGCGGGTGACTGTCCTCCAAGCCACGCGTGTTTTTAGCTGATGTATGTTAAATTTTAATACATGGAAGGGATTTTTTAAACAAAGTACATTTATGCTGGGGCTCAAAGAAAAATCCGTTTGTTTGTTTTTCATGAAGTAAAAGCCCCCGGGCGTCCCCGTGGTGACCTACGCCTGTCCCCAGCCTCGGCACCTTCCAGTCGTTTGTGTGCCGGCCACCTGGGCATCATCGAGGGCTCCTTGGCCCGTCTGGATCCTCTCCCTGTGTCGGCACCCATCTTCTCATCCGCGCACCTGGCCCCGCATTAGTAAGCCGGCGTGCCGGTCGTCCCGGGTTTTTGTTTGTGCTGTGGAGTGTTATTGA